CTCAGACAGCCCCTGCCCTGTCTCTGCCCCGTCAGCACGCTGTTCCAGGCCGCTAGCCTCCCAGCCTCTGTCATCCGAAGAGAACACCACCCCGTTCTCCTGCAACCACAGTGGTCGCTGGCCCCAGGGTGGGAGCCACGTCCTCGGGACACGGCCATCGGCTCCACCAGAGCCGTGAGGTCGGTCACTCCCTTCCCCCTCTCGCACTTCTCCCAGGACGTGAGCAGGGAACCCCAACACCCACCTGGCTGCTGTGTCCTCTGCCGTTCCCCCTCCCCACTTGTCAGTTTCTCTCAAAACCCACAGCAGCACAAAGACCTCCGAATATTCTCTTCCAGCCCCCGCAAGCTCTCCCACGCCTGTGACACCCAGCCTCTTCTTCCGGGTCTCTCTGCCTATGCATTAAACAGGGGCTGGGGGAGCTGTCTGGCCCAGTGGTTAGGACACCTTGGGAGACCTGCGCCTGAGTCCTGGCCTTCCGCTACGGATCCGGCTTCCTGCTAATGTGCACCCTGGGAGGCAGAGGTGAGGGCTCAAGTACTTGGGTCCCCCTTGCTCTTCCTCCCAAATAATAAACTAAAGTATAGGTATGTAGGTAGGTACATAGTTAGATAAAGAAGATAGAGAGATGAGAGAGAGAGAGAGAGGAGAGGGGAGGGGAGGGGAGGAGAAGGGAGAGGAGAGGAGGGGGGAGAGGAGAGGAGGGGGGAGGGGAGAGGAGAAGGCAGGGGAGGGGGAGGAGAGGGGGAGGAGAGGGGGAGGAGGAGAGGGGAGGGGAGGGGGAGGGGAGGGTAGGGCAGGGGAAGAAGAGAGGAGAGGAGAGGGCCGGGGAAGGGGGAGGGGAGGGGGGGAGGAGGGGAGTAGGGAGGAGGGGAGGGGAGGGGAGGGAAGGGGAGAGGAGAGGAGAGGAGAGGAGAGGAGAGGAGAGGAGAGGAGAGGAGAGGCAGAGATACACACAGTCTTGGGCTCAGACCTAGGCGTGCCGAGTCCTGGTTTCTACGGCAGAGGCCATGTCATTCGTGCAGGTGAGTCGCGCCATGAGTGATTCTCGCAGCCCAGCGAGGCTGGGAGGCACTGCCCGCCATCCTGAACTCTTGTTCTCAGCCTGGCTGCAGGTTGTGACCTCTCGGGGAGTTTGAACTCTGCCCCTGCTGGGCCTGCTCCCCACCCCACACTCCAGTTCAGCTGGCGTGGAACAGGGCTTGCACATCTGTGCTCTTAAGGGCTCCACAGAGGGCGCTGAGTGCGCCAGAGCTTGGCTCTGTGGGAAGCCATACAAGTCAGCACCGCCCCGGGTGCAGGGGGAGCACTGGGGGTGGGAGCAGGAGGCCCTGGAGCACTCGTGTGCACGCCCCTTGGACACAGGCCACCTGCAAACACATCGGGCGGAGCCAGCTTCCCTTCAGAAATGAGCAGTCCCTGAGGATTCCGGGTTTCCTACCACATGCAGAGCGATTCCCAGAGTTGAGGGGGACGCAGGAGGGAGGGGGAGGGGGAGGGGTGGGGGGGAGGTGGGACGAAGCCGGGCGTCATCAGAGGTCCTGCCGGGCACACGAGGTGATCGCCAGCGTGTGCCATTTTGTGCTCAGCTAAGATGAGGCCCTCGGCAGGCCCACAGAACACAACACATCTACTTCCCCCTCTTCTAAACCGGATCTCCTCTTCCACCTGGGTCTCCCGGCTGGGAGCAGGTGGGACCCAGTTAGACGAGCCTGACACACCCAACGTGACGCCACAGCCAAAGACGCTCTTCTGGGGCCCAGTGCTTGGTCGGTGCCGCCACCTCAAGGAGCTGCCCTTGGCTCCCTCAGTGTCCACTGGGCCCCTGGGGGCCTCTGTGATCCCCGGTCTTCTCATCTGGCCACTGGGATCTGTGGACCAGCACCCTCTGCCCTTCCGAGGGACAGGCTAGGGTGGGGTCCAATGAACCAACCCCAGCCTCCAGTCTCGAAGTCCCTCCCACCCATTAGGAACTCTTTATTCTTTTTTTTTTTTTTTTTTTTTTTGACAGGCAGAGTTAGTGAGAGAGAGACAGAGAGAAAAGTCTTCCTTCCATTAGTTCACCCCCAAAATGGCCGCGCTGCGCCAATCTGAAGCCAGAAGCCAGGTGCTTCTCCTGGTCTCCCATGTGGGTGCAGGGCCCAAGCACCTGGGCCATCCTCCACTGCACTCCCGGGGCCACAGCAGAGAGCTGGCCTGGAAGAGGAGCAACCAGGACAGAATCTGGTGCCCCGACTGGGACTAGAACCCGGGGTGCCAGCGCCGCAGGTAGAGGATTAGGCCAGTGAGCCGTGGTGCAGGCCTTTTTTTTTTTTCTAAACATTTATTTGAAAGTCAGAGTTACAGAGAGACAAATAGAAGAGAGAGAGAGAGAGAGAGAGAGAGAGAAAGTCTTCCATCCATTGGTTGTCTTCCCAGGTGGCCACAACAGCCCAGGCTGGGCCAGGTTGAAGCCAGAAGCCAGGAGCTTCTTCCGGTCTCCCATGTTGGGGCAGGGGTCCAAGCACGTGGGCCATCTTCTGCTGCTTTCCCAGGCCATTAGCAGGGAGCTGGGTCAGAAGTGGAGCAGCCAGGACATGAACTGGCACCCATGAGGGATGCTGGCATCACAGGCTGTGGCTTTAACTGCCGCACCACAATGCTGGCCCCCAGGAGTCCTTCATTCCGACCCCAGCCTCCACACTCCCACGGACCCCTGGGAAGCCCAGCCTGGCCTCCAGGCCACACGTGAATGTCTGAATTCTCCGCACTTCATGTCAGGGAGCCAACGTGCCACCCCGTTCCCACCCATCAGCTCCACACCAGTCAGCCAGGATCTGACCCAGAGATTAGCAAAAGCGTAGACAGACACTGTCAATCTCCCCCAAGCCATGCCCTCTGATCTGGGATCCCCATGCTCCCACAAAGACCCCCGTGGTTGTGCCTCCAAGTGCTTCCCCCTTGATTCTGCCCACAAGCCCACGAGCCACGCCCGCTGCAGACACGGCTGCCTTATCGCTCTCCTCCCCTGGTCTCTCTCTGTCCTGTGCCTGTCTTACAACTCATCCTTAATGTGGAGCAGGTACAAGGACAGAGACAGGCTTAAGGAGAAGAGAACACAAACCATCGGGCATTGCAAAAGCGACATTCCTGGCACGCGACGCGAGTGTACATCCTGGTTATCCCGGAGGAGTGTGCCGTAAGCAGTTGTCACTGTCCACGGGTCCACAGCAACCTCGCCTGGCTACACAGTTGGTGGGACTGGGTGCAAAATGAATGGGAGGCCCCTTGTTGGGACGCCCTGCATACTCAGGACAGCAACGGGGAGCATGTGACCACGGCTGGGACCCTCCTGCACCCCGCCAGGCTCCAGCCACATCGACTGCACCCCTTCTGTCCAAGTGAGGTGGGCACCTGGGCTGAGAGGAGGACTTCACACCATGCTTGTTGTCACATCCAATGGGGGGGCGGGGGGCAAGAAGAATCTACCTGTGGGGTTTCACAGATGAGTTGCCAGACGCTCAGAGAAAAGATCTCCAGATTACTCCACCCAGGCGTCTCATTTCTGAAGATGTCTGTAGAAACAGTCGCTCACACGCTAACTTGTTCAACCCTCCTGCTAGATCCGCCCTCCCGTTAGAGGGAAGCTCCCGAGCTGATCAAGATGCAAAAGAGAAGGGACTGCCCTCCCCTCCCTGCTGGCCGGGTCAGTACAAGCCTCAGCTGAGCCTTCCTCTACCATCCAGTCAATCGTGAGGCCATCACAGATTCCCCCAGAAGGAGAAGGAGGCGGGGCCCCCCGATGCACCCTGGGCACAGTAAATGGCAGCTTAATGAAGAACAAGAACAAGTACAATAATTATTTTACGTTTTTTAAAGTAATATTTGTTAAAGACTTATATTTGGAAGGGCGGAATGATAAGGATCTTCCAGCCACTGGTTCACTCCCCAAATGCATGCAACAGCCAAGGCTGGGCCAGACCAAAGCCAGGAGCCAGGAGCTCATTCTGGGTCTCCCACATTGAGTAGCAGAGACCCGAGCACTTGAGTCACCAACTGCTGTGAGCAGGGAGCTGGATTGGAAGCAGAGCAGCCAGGACTGGAACCAACACTCCGATACGGCACGTGGGCTTCACCTGGCGCACCACAACGCTCGCCCCGGGACCGATGTTTTAGCGACCACATCCACCCAGCTCTCAGGAATCATCTGTGCCTCCTGCTCACACCCAGGATGTGGCAAACACAGAAGGCAAAGCCACGGCTCACTCACGCCACACGGCCTGGAGACACGGCAAAGCAGACGGGGGCGTGTTTCTCACGTTGCTGCGACGACCGCTATGCTGAGAACCTCTTCCAATCAGAACTTAGGATCAAAGACAGCTTCCCTTTATAGTGCAAGAGAGATCAAGCCACGAAACGGCACTGCTCTCCTCTGATTACATTAACAGAACATCGTAGGGAGTGTCCCGCAGCACAAGGGGGTGCGTGGGTGCTCCTCAAATGTGCTACCGGGTTTGCGGCCATCACAAGTCCACCAGAAGAGCTGCATCTCGGTGCCATCCTTACTGTGGAGACTACTGTTAAAGATTGGAGGAAGGGCTCGCTTCCTGTCGGGGCAGACTGCTGGCTCGGTGTGTGACCGGATTAGCAGACAGCAAGAAGGCATTCCTCTGTAGTGGAAGGAGAAGCCACATCTGGATGCATCCCCCATACAGACTGGGGCGGTAGCAGCAGCCAACGTGGACGCTGAGTTATAGAGTGCGGTATCTGCTCACCCACGTGTCCTCCACACAACCCTATGAGGCAGACACGCTCAGCAGCACCTGTCTCACAGGGGCGGGAACTAAGGCAGAGAGAGATTAGCTAACCTGACCAAGATTGCACAGCCCGCAAGTCACAGGGTCCTAATTCAAAAAAGAATGCGGCTCCAGAGCCTGCACCCTAACCCCATCAAAGGATTCTCATAACAAAGCAGAGGATAAATGCCGACAGAGCTGTTCATTCAGAAATCTGAAATTCACCTGCGGGCAGGTGTTGGGCCCGGCCATTGTGTGCCAGCATCACAAGTCAGAGCGCTGGGTTTGCGGCTCGGCTCCACTCCAGATCCCAGCTTCCCGCTCCTGGGCATCCTGGAAGATATGAGGAGATGACTCAGGTGAGCAGGGATGGTGAGAGACCTTGACGGAGCTCCACCCTCCTGAGCTTGGCCCTGGCCCAGTCGGGGCCTCTGCGGGCATCTGGGAAGTGAACCAGTGGATGGGCGCTCTCTCTGCTTCTCTCTTTCTCCCATTCTCTCTCTCCTTCTGCCCGTCAAGTACATAAAAATGTATAAAATAGCATCTTTATCATTTTATTTGGAACCAGTGGCATGGCCTTCACATACTGGTCAGACGGAGGAGGAGCAATTGTAAGCAAAGGACTTGGAGTTTGAATCTGAAAGCAAAAAGCAACAACAGTTTGCGGATGCCCCTAACTCGGTTTTGTAAACCTATCTCCTTCAAAACAACTGGAACCCTTCCATGAGCGGTCCAGCCCATCGGCAAAAGCAAACAATGGCTGCCAGTTCTCCTGAGCCATTTTCGTACAGTGACGCCTGACTCCTTCGCCAAAGGGAGGCCACAGCCTCCAGGTTTTACAGCAGACGCTGAAACGTGCGCCCCAGCTCTCCGCCGGCTCGCCGCCTCCAAGTTCGGAGGGAATCAAATCGCCCTGAGAATTGGGGTCGGCTGCTTTCCTGGGGTCTCGAATCAGAACAGAGAAAGGATCCCGTGTTAAGTAATTAAGTGTGACCAGTCCTGAAGGCCATTTAATGAGTCTCCGTGTGGCAGGCGGGCGCTCACTCCACCTGTCTCAAATCGGTTGTGATGTGCCGGGAAGCCGGCGTGATCAATAATTTAAACGCTCAAAGATTCCAGCAGCAGGCTTTCCTGCTGGCTGCACAGGAACACCTGAGTGAGCCCTCAGAAGTGTGGCCCCAGTTAGGAACCTGCCCACGATTGGTTAACTAAGCGGCAGGAAATGCGACACTCTTTTTTTAAGGGAAAGAGTTAAAACACCAGTTAAGAGTTGAAGGTCTTAGGGTGCGCGCTTAGCGTCCATGCATCAGGCGCAAAGGACAGACCCTGTCTCCCGCGCAGGGCACCTCGAAGGTACGACGGCCTTGAGACTGAATTAATGACGAGGAGGAGAGCCCGTAATTACACACACAGTCACACGCGAGGCTGTTTAGCCAGCAAAGCTGAGTGGTTTCTGTAGATGGTAAATTAACCCGGTGGGAATTGAGAGGAGATTTCTGTGCGAAGATTTCTTTATTCATGAGAATAATTGGATATTGGAAAACCATCATGCATTGTGTCTTGATTTGAAACTGTCAAGTGCTACGTGAAGCCCCTCCCTCTGCCCAGGCCCCTCGGTCCTGGGTGCCTTTGTGCAGCCAATTAGGGACCTGCCCAGGCACAGTGAGGCTCAGGGGAGCGTGACCCCCGACTGCTCCCAAACCACAGAGTTGGGGCTCCAACCTTCAGGCTGAGGAAGCCCGTCTGGATCAGCACTGTCCCTTCAGGTCGTTAACGCGACCCTGGGAAAAGAAGAGGGATCGTAGTGACTGGAGAAAAAGGAAAAAGGAAGACAGGAGAGAACAGCGGGCACGGTGGGTTCGAGGCCGCGTCCGCCAGACCTTAGGCAGCGGGCAGGTCTTTGGCTTCTGCCTGTCTCACACCTGCTCTCTGCACGCCCGCGCCCAGATGAGTCGTAGAGAGAGAGGACAGCAGACGAAGGTGCTGCAGGGTCCCATGCTGGGGGCGACTGCCTCGGCACGGAGACGGGGGGCAGCGGGCATGCACTCCTGATTGGCAGCCCTCGGTCTGCGAGGCCTGCTTTTCCGGTACCTGGGCATGCCCAGAGGAGCCGGCTGGGAGCACCTGGGAACCAGAACCTTGCTCCTCCCGGGCTGGTGCAGGGAGCTCGTTAGCAGCTGCTCAGCCTCCGCTAAACAGCCTTGTTTGCATATTGCAGCCACAGAAAGGAGTGGTGTTAAAAGCAAGACTTGCCAGGCTGCTGCTGACTGACATGTCTATCTAGACTCTCGTGTTTACAAGAGAAGAGCGGGGCTGCCTCGAAGCCCCCACTGGGCCTGATTGCTATGCAGAAGCGTCTCAGATGATGTATAATTGATATCCTTTTTCCCTCCAGCTAACCAATGGCAGCTCTCAAGAGTCATGCTAATTCTCCCGCATCCTTCCATCCAAGCAAACACTGGAAATGGCCCTCTTTCTCGCTGCTTAATAATTTTTAAAGACCAAAAACAAGGGACATTTGCATTTTTCAGAAGCACAATGACGGCACGGCCAGTGTGGGTTCTTCCACTTAATAGCAGTCCTGGAATCAAACAGTGGGGAGACGCGTTCAGGACTTGCTCAGCCTCTGTGAGCGAGTGAGAGACAGAGAGGAGCTTAGGAGAAACGCCTCGAACAACAGGCACTTTTTCTTCACAAGAACGCCCTGCCCCTTTTGGGGCCCCTGAGTGTGGAGCAGGGCTGGGGAGCAGCCTGCACAGACGAGCAAGGCCCTGCGTTGTCATCCCTGGAAACCCTGCCACGTCTGAGCAGCCCCAGTGCCTTCACCTTGCCTTCCGCTGGGGCTGTTTAGGTCCCTTGAGTCTTGGAAGCGGACTTTGGAGGGGAAAAGTAAAGGCAGAGGATGGGGCCAGCATTAGGTCACAGCTGGTGAAGCCGTCACCTGAGACACTGTCCTCCCAGGTGGGCGCTGGTTCGAGTCCCCGCTGCTTCACTTCCAGTCCAGCTCCCTGCTAAGGCACTGGAGAAAGCGGCAGAGAATGGTCCAAGTGCTTGGGCCACCGCCACCCATGCAGGAGACCCGGATGGAGTTCCAGGTGCCTGGCTTGTTGTGGCCATCTGGTGAGTGAACCAGAGGATGGAAGACCGTGTGTGTGTGTGTGTGTATGTGTGTGTCCCTCTCTTTCTATAACTCCACTTTCCAAATAATACATACATCTTTTAAAAAGAGAATGCAGGGGGCCGGCGCCGCAGCTCACTAGGCTAATCCTCCGCCTTGCGGCGCCGGCACACCAGGTTCTAGTCCCGGTCAGGGCGCCAGATTCTGTCCCAGTTGCCCCTCTTCCAGGCCAGCTCTCTGCTGTGGCCCGGGAGTGCAGTGGAGGATGGCCCAAGTGCTTGGGCCCTGCACCCCATGGGAGACCAGGAAAAGCACCTGGCTCCTGGCTTCGGATCAGCACAGCGCGCCAGCCGTAACGCACCGGCTACAGCGGCCATTGGAGGGTGAACCAACAGAAAAAGGAAGACCTTTCTCTCTGTCTCTCTCTCTCTCACTGTCCACTCTGCCTGTCAACAATAAAAAGAGAGAGAGAGAGGGAGGGAGGGAGAGGGAGAGAGAATGCAGGGGATGAAATTGGGCCAAGGGCCCTGCGCAGCTGCTAGGCGTCTCGCTCTGACAGTGGACGACTGGAAGAGAGCCACTTCGGGAAATCGCTCCACAAGTGCACATGGCAGGAGTGGGCGGGGCAACGAGAAGACGATGCGGAAGTGGGAGGGCCAAAAGCAAAGCCAATCCAGGCCCCTTACCATCTGGACACAGAGGAGGACTGAATGTGAGGTGCAACACCAGGGATGGCTCGATGCACCTGGTCGACAGTCGTGGAGGAAGAGCTGGGGTGAGGGCCTGTGGGGAGCAACTCGGACTAGACTGTTACTGGAATTAAGACTTATTCTGTGCATCTGCTCTCCCACAATATGGCGCTGGGAGAGGAGTAAACAGCTTCTACGCAGCTGCCTCTCGCCAACTTGAGTGATGACCTGCAGGAGCTGATCCTGCTCCTGATTGGAGGAGAGCAGCGTACTCGGCGTGTGGGTAGCAGAGTTGGGATTGGTGGAAGGGGACTATAAAGGAGGAGAGAGACAACATGCACCAGGAACATCTATCTGAAGGAACACCTGTGCAGCCCCCGAGAGAGCCGGCCGGCAGTGTGCCGCTCCCCCGCGGAAGTGGGGAAAGTGGCAGGGGGAACCGCCCTTCCACGGAGGTGGAAGGGTCGGTAGCCAACCCGGAAGAACCAGTAGCAAACCCGGGGAGGGCCGAGCAGACAAAAGAACAGTGCAGGGTCCTGTGTCATTCCTCCACAAAGACGAGGAGCGACAAGGGCCTGTGTCAACAGGTACTCGAGGGTAGCTGCCATCTTGGTGTGGTTCTCAAACACAAGACAGACTGTCCCTGAGAAGTCACAGGACAGATTCAAGTGCCAGACACATGTAGGCATCTGCACCAAGAGCATCAAAGCCCTTGTCTTTCCATCCTGGCGGCTGACAGGTGGCGGGGGGCTGGCTGGCTCTGCGCCCCACCAGCAGTGCCTGTCCTTGCTCTGAGACATCTGTGTAGCCCGTCTTCTGGAAGGGAACGATGGAAAAGCTCGCCTGTGCTCGCATCCAGCGGAAACAGCGAGGATCGCCGTTGTAGCCAGGATGCGCATTGCCCAGCATGGAGAGTTTCTTCCACCAGCAAAGAAATGAACCACCCGGAGCCCCTGCTCTGGCCTGAATGGCAAACACGGGAAGACCGGCTGGGAGTGCCCGGCGCCACAGCTGCCGGGACTGAAAGGGGTGGAGCTCCCGCCCTCCTGAAGTGGCCAGCCTGCTGGGGAGGAGAGAACTCTGCAAAGCAGCAAAATGGAGTGAGTGATGCCTACAGAGGAGCTGGAAGGCTGGAGGCTGACATTGCTGACTTTCCCCAAAATACCCAGCGTGGTGGGAAAGCCCAGCGATCGGCTACAATGGATCTTCTTGGTTGGTGGACACCGGGGTTTTAAGGTTTTACAGCAGCAGGGTCGAAGTCCCAGTGAGGAAATCCGGACGCGTACTAACAAGGGATGCTTCGTCCTCGGTCCTCGTGCCGATGCAGTGTCACTCAGAGGCTTTGCTACGCACCGCCACGTCTGCTGCTGTCATCAGTGCTGGGTTTCTGAGAGACTGCCTGTCCCCAAACGCTGTCCAAACAGCTGTCCCCACCACGGCCCTCGGACGGGGCGCTGCTGGCCCCCGGGGCTACCTGGCAATGCCTCGACACATGCCTGGTTGCCACAACAGGAGGAGGCTCTGCC